TGTACTCGAAATGATTTAATGGCTTGGTGAATTGCTAATTAATTCTCAAGCAAAACGCTGAATGCTAATGTGTCGCTGTGTCAATTTGATTTTAAGGGAACGTGAGTAAGTGCGACTCAAATGAAGTTAAAAAGTTTGAAGGTGCCAATGAAAAAAAGTGCTAGAAAGAAAGACCCTTTATACCAACGATGAAAATCGCACTCAATTAATTTTTTTTCTTTCTTTCGTGTACTTTTCTCTTTGATCCGTCGATTAAAACTTTACGTTTTATGAGAGATCACAGTGAAAGCATATTCTACCAGACCTACTATGGCTGAAACACAGTTGTATTATTTTGTATCTGAGCCTGTATTGAAACTATTGAATAAAGATTTTGATGATTAAACCATGTTGACCTGTTCTACCAGATTAGGGACAGCAAGCGCTTTTTTCACCAATATCAGACTATCGATCCTGAGGGTGATGAAATCGTGTATGTTCAGCACATCGCGTCAATTTTCGCAAATAATAATAGTGAAACGATACTGCTACCAAATACGGAATCGTTCGCTTTTTCGGTCCGCCCACGAACGAACGTCATAAAGCCAGCCAACAGAGAGAACAAGAGAAGGGAAAAAGGTGGCTTCTGTCCATTTGTGTAACGTTATATTGCGTACAATATTTGGAAATTTCATCATTAATACGATAAATCTCTGTAAAGTTTCATCTTCTTTGATATATTCCCCTTAATTCTGTTATAATTTATATAATACAAAATTAAGAGAAATCTTGATTTGAAAATTATTATTTAATCGTGCAAATTATATATTAAAAATGTATTAACCCGCAAGAAGAACGTTCGCGCAATTTTTTAATGGTTATTTTTGCGCCAAGTTTTAAGTGAAATTCTTAAACTACAGTAAGTCGCCAAAGTGAAATTACAAAGTTCGTCCTAGCTTGACGCATCGAAACTTAGTTTAGCCAATAAGGAACTCAAGTATATTTTAAACTCGACAAGCTACATCCGTTTCAATGACCGCAGTCTAATTCCGAGCATTTATTCAATAAATACATTTAAAAGGACTGCTCTACTTATGCAAATTACATAAAACCCGCATATGACATCACACTTTGTTTCATCACGCGTCGCGTTATCTGAAAATCCTGACAAGCATAGAATCAAAATGCTCTATAAAGGTAAAATTGTCTTGAAACTCTTGAAAGTAATCAAGATGAAAGTGATCAAGATGATCTCGATAGTGGATGACGAAATTTAGAATTCCTGCAGCAAAGGAAACCGCCGAAGGAAATATTTTACATTACAATTTACGTAAGCGTGAAACGGTTTCACAGACATTTTATCGGAACGTCGCACGTGCGATCTCAAACGCAAGTTATCGAGTGGGCAGTCCAGTGCCATTCCATGACAGCCTACGCGATTTCGACAATCCACGCCCGACGCGAATCGAAAGTGCGAAGGGAAGGTGCATGTGTTTCTATAAGACCCAGTTTTTCATTTTTTGATTAACTTGTGATTTAGATTTAACCTCATTTAAGATCAGATAATAGAAGAGTTATGTTTTTCTAATTATTACCTTGATTGGTGTTCACCATACTAATTCAAATCGACTGCATATCCAGATGCATATTAATTGTCATGTACAGAGAAATAACAAACATTATCGTCAAATGTAATTTCTCCGTTATATACATTATTATCTAAATAATCGTTTTATTAGAAGGACCCCAAAATGTATGTGTGGGTCAAAACGTATGAATTTAATAAATTGTTTTAAGACAAATTATACACGTGATTAATTAACATCGCAAAATCTTGAGTTGGCTCTAAAAGGCTCATGTTTTTCTTTATGATTTATATCGCGTGCGAGCCTATTTATTAAATTATTTTTCTAATTATGATTAATTACAAAATTGATGATTTCGTAGTTGTGATAATTTTAAAAATTACTCACTACAAAATCATCAGTTTAATGATTAGTCATAAACTAAAAAAATACAATTTTTATATTATCATCAGATTAAGCCTAACTACAAGTTAACTAAAAAATGAAAAACTAGGCCTCAAAATTATCACTATGAAATCATCAGTTTAGTGGTTATCAATCGTTTCGTATAAATGGTGACTTTAAAAGTTACTATAAATCCATCAGAGCTAAAGAATCATAGCTAAAGAAAATACGATTGTGTAATATTTTTGTAAAAATCTTTTCAAATTTTCGACAATAATTAATCACTAAACCAATAAATTCGTAGTAACTTTTAAAGTTACCACTATCATCAGTTTAGTGATTAATCACAGATAGAAAAGTACAATTTTTACATTGTCATAAAGTTAAGTGAAAGTCTAAACACAAGTTAACAAAGAAATGAAAACCGGACATACTGCATAAGAATTTTTTTCAACCAATAACCTCTATGTCTGAAAAAAGAAAAGAAAATGAACAGATTTGACTACTAAATTTAGATGTACGATATAAATCGCTTCCGTTAAATATAACATGTATTTTGATAATGTGTAACATTATGTATTTCACTCGCGGATTAACTTTGGAAACTTGGAAAGACTTATATCGTGTAATTGCGAACGATCGATTGGATGCGTAGCTGTAAAATCTCCGACAGGCGCGTTTCGCATACATGGTCGACCTATTAATTAGTTGTGCAACGAGTCGACGGCACTTCCAGCGCAGTGAGAAGCCGACGAAGCGTATCGCAAATTGCGATCCGCGGAAGCCACGTTAGTATAACGCCCTCGTTCTTCCGTGATTGGAGAAGTATACAAGGCGATATACAGCGTTTAATAAAAAAGCGCTGTTCTATCTTCGATGCGTTCTACCTCTAATCTGCGTTGGTTTCCTAATCCTTCTGTCATATAACTGTTCACCTTTTCACTGCCGTGTTTCACAAGATTCCCGCTAAAAATGTAAAAGTGAAAATGAGATAAAATCCGTGGAAAACCTCTATTGTTTGAAGAGTGAGACTTTTTAGGCGTCGTAAATTCGCACAAAGATGTAAAAATGTTTACTTACCAAATTTTGAAGTTATAAATAATATTATAATATAATTATACAATATAATAAAAATATAATAATACTTAAATATTTTTTGAGTTTAAAATTCAATGTAAATAACTTAAATATTATATTATTAAATATTATATATAATTTGAAGTTATAATACTATTATTATGTAATATTTAAGTTATTTCTACACTGAGAAAAAAATGCTGTTGATTCAATTAAAGTCTATATTACGGGCTGTCACTAACATAAGTGATTAATTCTTGTATATTTTTATTGACACAAAAAGGCATAAATTATTATTTCGATAATCAAGCCTTTATATCAATAAAGTATACGCATGAATTAATCACTTATGTTAGTGACAGCCCATAATATAGACTTTAATTGAATCAACAGCATTTTTTTCTCAATGTAAGGTTAAAATTCGAACAACTTAAATATTACAATATTATTATATTATTTTATAACTTAACTTATTATATTATTATTATATCATATAATTATATTATATTATTAATAATTAATTTTGAAATTAAATTTAGTAGATATACGCGGGCATACCCATGCATTGTTAAAAGGGCCAATAAAGATTCAATCGCTTCGACTTATACGCGAAGAGGCTCAAAGTCGCGGAATGATATCGCACGTTTGCGAGATCGAAAGTACACCGCGGATTCCGAGCGACGCGCGTTTTTCCTTTCCGTTGTTCACCACCCGTGACAATCACTCGATTAGCGTTCGGGAGTGAAATCATGTCCTTGGCACTATTGTCCTTCGTCACGTCGCGAACGTGCGTAAAATAAATGCGGATTATTGCCACCCTGTGCATTTATTTCATGAGAACGACGAGAACTTATGACATATCTTGGCGCACGTGCTCCCGTACGCAAAACCGCAGATATCAAAGCATGTGTGTTCAAGAATTTGTTCTGCTTCCAATAGTATAGTGACTTTTTTCGCTCTGACTTGAAATAAAAAAGTTATGTCTAATTTTCGTTTCGCGAAAACATGAAAATGGTCAAATTTTCAGATCTTTTTTTTGTTGCATTTAATCATCAGAACTCTTTTCAAAACCTATCAGGAACTCTAGAACTTTTTGGGGAAGAGTCAGAACTCTATTAATTAAATCGGAATTTTTACAATAAAGTGCCAACTTCACAGAGGCAGAACAAGTAACATCCAATGAATTCGAACCACTAGTTTTTTAGAAAACATTATACGACAATGTTGCAGAATTTTCTTATGGCGAAGCTTCATATTTCTATCCGCGTTTCCACAAAAATGCTCCTCGATTTAAAAAAAATAGTTTAAATTACAAGAAAACTCTTGAAAACAATCGTACAGTTATACGATAATGTTGCGAAACTTTTGAACAAAGCTTCATATTCAGTCGTTTTTACAAAGATAATTTCTTGATTTAAAAAGAATTAGATGTACTTAATTTTTTTATATCAAACTACAAACTTGAAAAAAAATTGTACGGTGAAACGATATATTGCGAAACTTTCGGGTGAAACCTCATTTTTAGTCGCTTCCATCCACAAAGATCATTTCTCGCCTTCAAAAATTATATAATTTTTTACAGTGTATATTCATATCGCTGATTTGCTTCAACACATAACTAAAAAATTATAATTGCTTGCAGAAAAAGAAGGGAAACTTAAAGAAAAAAAGAAACAACATACTTTTAAAAAACATACTTTTATACCTCCACGATCAGTTATTATAATCAAAATTACATTTAAAAATTAATATTGAAAAATTTTCATGACATGAATTCAAAACATTGAAATTAATTTTCTGGAAAACTTTGTTTATTTAGTTGTGTCGTTGTTGTAACAAATAAACGAATCGATATATTTAGTTAGAAAAAGTACGCTTCATGCGGATGATATAAATCGAGAGAAATCGAATGATATTCTGAATACCAATTGCTGGACACAACGTATCGCTATTCATGCACGGAGACCGACTTACGTAAATCGTGGTGACGGTCGCACTTCTAACCATATCCCTGACGTCGTCCATCTCACGTATGGACGTCGTAGATGCCGGCGTGGGCGCCAGCATCACTTCACTCGCCATCCTCCCCTTTTCTCGACAACTGTTTCTCCTCGTAAAACTCTTCTTACGTCGTTCAGTACACACCTTCGATCGAATTCAAATTGCAAGAGTTTCAAATTGAAAATCTGCGATGCATCGCATCTCCTCAGATTTTTGCCAATGAAAATTTTTCTCATCTATTTCTCATCAGGGAATACTAAAGATTTGATCCGATAGTATTATAGTAAAGAAACGCCACGTTCACTGTTGAATTCATAATGTCGAATTATACCCAGTTGGAGTCATTTTCAATTATTTCTGTAGATCGCCACTGTTACTACTCAATGTGTCATCAATTTAATTAAAACAATGACGTTAAACAATTTAACTAAAAAAATATATTAAATTGACTCAAATTTATTATTTACTAGGAGTATTAATATCGATGTTGTTTACTTTAAAACTAACCACAGAAAGATTTACATTTTGACACACATGAAAGTTAAAAGTAACAAAATGTTATTTAACTCCAAAGAACTTGGGACCATTGCTCCTTTGATATTCAACAATGTATAAATGATATAAACACTAATCATGGCACTTCGACTCATCATGTTCGCAGCATTATCTCGAGATTATCTCCCGACTGAATTGTCGTGATTTCGTAATGCAGTTCCATGAGTTGTTAATCTTCTTGATGTCTCCTCTCGCGAAACTTCGGTATGGCAGCGTTCGCTTCCGGGAAAGTGTCCAAGAGAAGGCCCCAGTGAATAAATTTAATTTCGGCGACCAAGTTCTCGCACCGACATTATTAATAACGTGATAATTCACTCGTTTCGTCGACAACTCCGTTTCTCTTGATATTTCTCTCTTTCCAGTTAATAATTAACAAGACGCGAAGCAATGTTCAGTAACGATTGCACGATGGCTGCAGCTGCAGCGGGAATGCATCGCTCCCTTCTTCCCGATAACGCGATTCTCCCGATGGCGTGGGTCCAACATCTGTCTTCGATCGTGTCGACGATGGAATTCCCAACACCATCGAGGGAAGAAGCGGTTGAGTCGTTTTGTTTTCACACAATCCAGCCGGATCCTTGGGATTGTCGCAGAGAAGTTACAGCACCAATTGCAGCGGACATTCTATGACTTGCACTATACCGCGGCTAAAGATCCCAAGAATGAAGATAACGAGGTGAAAATCGCGATCAATACGCACTTCCGAGATGATGAATCACTCCGCAAAAGCGTGACGTACACGATTGTTCGCATGAGAAGGAAATCCTTGAGATATGCAATTGCATTACCTGATCCGCCGAGTGTATTAAACAGTTTGCATCCGCACGCAAAATTCACTCTTGATTGTTGTATATTTACACTTCCTTTTCATTAAAATCTGTCTTTTCCCAGACCTTGAGTTTCCTAAAAATACTTGTCACTAAAATCTATCTTTTTTCAAACTTCGAGTTTCCTGATATACACTTCATTAAAATTTCTATTTTCTCAGATTTTCGAATTTTCTTATATACTTTTCATTTAAATTTGTCTTGTCAAACCATGAGATTCCTAAAATTCATTCTTTACGACTACAACAAAAGGGCGACTTTTCCCCCGAATAACTCGATTTTCTTCGTCAATCGATGTCACCATCGATCATTCCGCCACGTGCCTCACCGGGGAATAATTTCGACTGCAGCACGTCGAATTTAATCACATAATAATCAATTCGGATATCCATCCACCAAGGGATACGAGGAGCAGCGCGTTGCCGGTTCCGAGCGCGAAATCACACTACGAGGCGAGTCAGCGTGCGGCTTTAGATTCCGCCGAGTGCACTGGAGACGGCAATCTACGGTCGCACGAGTGAGTCAGCTGCTGCGTTTCGTACTCACGAACACCCACGCGAACGCACACGCGTGCACGCGGTAACGAATCAAAATAATGCTGGATCCCTTAAGCCCAACGTGATTGACTCTTACCCTACGGAAGCCGGGTCTCCCTTCTTGACCCGTGAACAAAACAGAACTCTTTCTCTCCCTTAAAATAATTATTCACTATTCTTTTAAGTGAATATACAGAAAGAACGTTATGCTGAAATATTTAGCAATGTAGATAGATATGGAAATATTCGAAAAAATATCTCAGGTAGATCTGAGAAAATTTTGTTGAATCAAGATGTAGGAAAGTCAAGGATAATTATATAGGAAAGTCATCATAGTTGGAAAATTTATGTTCAATTTAACACATTTTACATGTTTCAAATGATTCAATTTTTGTGTTAATTTAATACAAATACGTGTTAAATTATTTTAATGGTTCAATCAAATTATTATTTTCAAATCTATATCTAGCTAAATTTTTAGATACTTCAGCGAACCTATTCTTTTCGTGTACAGTTTAGAGAAACGAAAGAACCACACCCTTCTAATTTTAGAGATATAATCCCACAAATTTTACTGCGTTAAATGCTAAGTCAAGTGTGTTCCCAAGGAAGAATCATCTGTGATAATCTGTTACGTTAGAGATTTTCTAATTCTAGCTAAGCTTGACAGAGAATTTTTATATTGTCGGATATTTTTAATTAAAAGTAACGACCAGCGCATCGATATCGCTGTGTGAATAATTATTTTTGTTCTGAAAATCGTGCTCTCAAAAAGATGATAAATACAATAATTAAGAATATTTACAGCTTCAGCGAAAGACACGCTGCGAAGAATGCAGCGAGACTAAGTACATCGCGTAATAGGCACGTTCAAAATGCATAGTTGCATCTTGAAACACCGCGCAGAACAGTTTAATTAAACGAATAATTCCCGAGATGACGCACACTGATAAAAATAGCTCGGCGAAGCCACAAAGTCTTCTCCCTATATAAATAATTTCTATTTTATCTCATTCTATTTTACGTACACTGTTAAATTCAAATTATACCTAATTTTAATTATTTTTAATCATTTTTATAAATCGCCACTGTTTCTACTCAATATATTATTAATTGAACGAAAACAATGAAATTAAACAATTTAACCCCTAAGAAAATGTATTAAATTTTTTACTTAAATTTAGTTAATTATTTACTAAGTGTATAATGCATTAAATACGTTAATATCGACGTTGTTTACTTTAAAAATAACTACGGAAAATGAATTAATTTATAATTTGACACATATGATTAAAAATAATAAAATGTTATTTAACTTGAGAGTTTAAATTGCCATTGTTCCTTTCATATTTATACTGAAAACAAAATGATGTATCAATAGCATTATTTTAATTGAAAATAATTTTGTTAATTCACAATAACACCATTAATAAAACAAATACGTCATACTCTTATTTTAATAAAATTTCATTTGTTTCATTAATACTGTTGTTAAATTAGATTCGAGGAACCATTAGTTGAAATATTGTCCCACAGATTACATAATTTCATTTAATTTTATACGATTTTATCTGATGACAAATAATTTTCTTCACTATATATGAAGTCATTTGGTGAAATAATTGATTTTATCTAATATCACACAATTATTTCTATTAGTTATACGAGTATATGTAATTATCGGATCATACATATAATCCGATAATTACGGGATTTCATATGAATTTTATAATGATTTTGGGGACTCTGTCCCACAATTACATTAAGTAATTACCCCCTTGATTATTAAAGAGTATTAAAAAAAAAGATGTATTAACAGCATTATTTTTAATTAAAATAATGCTGCTGATACATATCTTTTTTTTTCAATGTAACAGTGTATACCTCGCTAAATATTCCAAACTTTTCGAAAACTTTCCCAAAAACGGTAGGACGCTGTTAGTAGCTGAGAGAATGAGAGAATTGATTGTGGAAAGCGACCGAGTGAGCGTATTTCCTTTCGTAGAAAGCATCCGACAATGTGCATGAAACAATGCAGGCCGTCGCACAACGCGGATTCATTTTCTCACGGTGTATTGGATTACTTGTTCTTTGGCGAAGGACGTTGTGCGTAAGTGTTGAAAAGACAGAAACGTAACGCAGCGACAACCTATCTCATGCTCCCGGCGACGCCTCCGTCTTTTGCAAATCTGTTTTTACGAGCCGGTTTTATTCATCAGGGGCACTTCGCGAGGCTCGATATTACCTGGAACTCTCATAGAAGTATTCAAAATAATAAAGAAGAATAAATGTTCGGTGAGTAATAAATTCAACATTCGAATGTCTTTAATACTAAATACGATATGAACACGGTGCTGTTTAAGATCGCACGAGGCCATAACTCCCGCTTTCAATTTACCACCCACATCGGCATTTCCCTATTTGCACGCGGTTTCGAAAACGGCTTCGATTATCTCGAGGTGCGAGCATGTCACTTTCACCGATTATTGCTTTTTAAAGGCGCCTGTTCGAGGATGGGATAACGTGTTATTATTATGTAAAATACACGGTGCACCAGCAGTAAAACACAGCTTTTCCTTACGATAAAGGCAATTGTTGAATATTGAATTGAAAATAGAAATGCTAATAGAAATGCTAATAGAAACGCTAATCTTCACAATTAGCAAATATTTCGAAAGCAAAATGAGCTGATACCTATTAACCTTTCATCTGCAACCTTTTAATTCAAACGTTAAAATAATTTAATGGAAATTGAAATTCGAGCAAAAATTAAGGATAATGGAAATGTTTGTAAAAATGTATAATTTATAGCAATAAGAGAATCAAACTCTACACCTTTCTTTATTTCGAAGAAAGAGAGTGAAAGGAGGATGTTCAAAAAATGGGCGATTTTTATCCAAAAAAGTTTAAACAAAAGAAATAATACACTAAAAAAAAATTGATTACTGCAATAATTTAGATAGTAAAATATAGCATAGCATTTTTATATGGCTGCAGCAATCAGTTTTTTGTTGTATCGAAATCATATACTGGCATTGCGGATAGGATAACACAACTAAAAATTTACTGCTACAACCAAAAACTGATTGTTGCAGTCATATAAAAAGGCTATGCCATATTTTACTATCTAAATTGTTGCAGCAACCATCTTTTCTTTCAGTGTACTTTTTATATAAATTTTGATATTCTGGATACAATAAAATTATTTAAAAATTCGTAACGTTTGGAGATCATCTCGAAAATTAAGCATAAGCATGACCTATTTATCCAAGTTTCAACGTTCTTGCTCAATTTTCGAAATGTTTTCCAAACGCTACGAACTTTATAATAACTTTATCATATCCCAGGTTTCAGAATCTACAAAAAAGCTATTTCTTTTTTACTTACACCTTTTTAGGCAAAAACT